GCAGACGCCCAGAAAACCCTAACCCACAAGATGGCAAAGAGACAAAAGCAGCCGATCCACCAGCTGAGAATTCGTCCGCTCCCGAGGCTGAGCAGGGCGGGGCTGAGTAAAAAATGCCGGCTTACCATCTTTACCATCATCCGGTTTAGTCATCCAACAAGAAGAATAATGAAATTCCAGCAATAAGAAATGAACAAAAGATTGGAGCTGAAGACTAAGTGCTTGCTTTTTGCCCGTTGACCAGATAACTAGAACTTATCTGCATTATCTATGCAGCATGGGGTTTTTATTATTTTTATCTAAAGATGTCTCTTTTTGGTAATGACAAATGTGTTTTTTAAGAAAAAAAAAAAAGCCTGGTTTTTCTCAATACACCTTTAAAGGTTTTTTAAATTGTTTCATATCTGGTCAAGTTGAGATTTTTAAGAACCTCATTTTTAATTTGTAATAAAAGTTTACAGCTTGATTTTTTCAAAAAAGTCAGCAAACTGCAAGCACCTGTTAATAAAGGTCTTAAATAAAAAAAATTTAGAATAGTAATATATCTTATTTAGCATTTTATAAAACATTTTTTGCTATTTAACTCTAATCAGAATACATTATTTGTATCAGTAAAAATAAGCTAGATTTTGCTTCAGTAAAAGGCAGCATCAAAATACCAAGGGCTTAGAAAATCAAAGTTTTATTTTTTGTTCAAGCCATTTACCCATCACAGTCAACACAGAGAGTCCATGGAAGAACATAAAGGGCTATGGGGAATCTTTCACAAATAGATATGCTTGATTGGAAATGTCACACACATTAATCATATAACCCAACTCACCCCTAAAGAAAATCTGATGAGCAATATGAACAACTGATTTGTTCATATGTTTTATGCCACAGAAGTTCACAGCTGTGGGAAGTTAACATAGTGTAGTGATTCTGTAGCCAGATTATCAGTTGCAGGTCAATTATTTACCAACTAATCTAAGGCAAGTTACTTAATTTCTTTGTGCCTCAGTTACATCTTGTGTAAAACTTGGACCTAATAATACCAACTGGGGAAACAATAGGTGATTTAACATAGTTAAAGCATTTAGAACAGTAGCTGGCATATTACTATCATCAACGTATTTTCTAGTATGAAACTCAGTATAATTATAAAAATGTTTTAATGCCCCTCTGCCAAATCAAACAGTAATATGTTTCTCTCTCACATCTGAGTCTCATCAACCAGTTTTCCACCCCAGACACAATTGCTACCAGCTGTGGCATTTATGACTTTATAGCCTTTCCACCACAAATCTCCGGTTTGTTTCTCTGCTTCTGATAATGAAACATTTCCTTTGTCAGCTGACATGATGTTGAACCTTGCTAGGGACTTCAGAGGAAAAATGGGCTTCTCTTCCTGGTTCTGGTTCGCTTTCTGTTCTTATTCCTGTGGTGCTGGGTGGGTGTGTAGGAGAGACAATGATGGAGCTTACCCTAGCAAGTTCCATTGATGCCCAGGTGGTTTCCCCAGGGCCAGCTCAGAAACACCCCTGTCACCAGCTTCCTGGCAGCTTCCCAAGGACTCCAATTTGTGGACCAGCCAGCTTCCCTTCAGGTTCCACAGCACTCTCGTTCAGCAGTTTCCCAGTGAATTTCATCAACAGCCTCAGCAAGTGATTCCTGCTAGCCTCAGACTCCTGATTCCCTTGTGGAATTTCCTGGTTGTCAGTCCTTGTCTGTGACTCCCAGCCTGTAACCCATGGACCAGCTCTGACATGAGGTAACCCAGCAAAACATTACATCATTCAGGGGCTGCCTCCTCCCCAAGGAGGTCTGGGCCCAGCTTTGAGGAGCCCTGCCTTCCAAGTCCATGCCTTCCTTGGATACTCTTTCTCAGCATTAGGGTATTCAACAGAGGTCTCTTATTCCCACTTAATAAATAATTAGAAGCCCAGTGCACAAAAATTTGTGCACTCAGGGGCGTCCCTCAGCCCGGCCTGTGCCCTCTCGCAGTCTGGGACCACTCAGGGGATGTCCACCTGCTGGCTTAGGCCCACTCCCTGGGGCATCGGGCCTAAGCTGGCAGTCAGACATCCCTCTGGCAGCCTGGGAGCCCTCAGGGCATATCTACTTGCCAGCGGTGAGCAGGCCTAAGCTGCAGTCGGACAACCTTAGCACTGCTGAGGAGGTGGGAGAGGCTCCCGCCACCACCGCTGTGCTGGCAGCCGTCAGCCTGGCTTGTGGCTGAGCAGAACTCCCCCTGTGGGAGCGCACTGACCACCATGGGGCAGCTCCTGCATTGAGTGTCTGCCCCTGGTGGTCAGTGTGTGTCATAGTGATCAGTCATTCCTCCATTCGGTCGATTTGCATATGGGAGTCCCACTGGGGTGCCTGGCCATCCTGGGTGAGGGGCTAATGGCCATTTTCAGGCTGGCCACACCCCCTGGTGACCCAAGCTCCCAGCCTCTCCTTTTTTTCTTTTTTCTTTTTCTGGGATTTATTTATCTTCTATAATTGAAACTTTGTAGCCTTAAGTGGAGCCCATGTCCAGCTGAACCCAGGCTCCCAGCCCCTCCTTGAGCAGAGGCCACAGCTGGCTGGAAGCAGGTATCTGGGATTTATTTATCTTCTATAATTGAAACTTTGTAGCCTTGAGCAGAGCCGAGGGCCGGGGCAACCAGGCCTCCTGCTTGCTCTAGCTCCATGGCAGTTGCCAGCTTTGTTGGGTTAATTTGCATACTCGCTCCTGATTGGCTTGTGGGCATGGCTTGACCATAGCAGAGGGATGGTTAATTTGCATGTTGCTCTTTTATTATATAAGATTATTCTTTATATTAAATCTTCACTATGCAAATTATTGTGTAATTTCTGTCTCCTGAATGGACCCTGGCAGATAGAACAGCTTCTTGTCATAATCTTCTGGAGATATTCTATGCCTATAGGAGTGTATATATACACCTTTTTTGTTACATAAATAGTAATATTCTGAATAGTGTTTTCTGAACTCATCAATCAATTCATATCAGCACACATACCTTTATTTCATTCCATATTATGTAGATATGTCATAATATATTTAATCAGCTTCCAATTAATGGGGAATTAAATTATCTCTAGTCTTTTCTCTCCAAAAATACTGTAATAGTATTCTTATTTGGTTGGCCCATATGCTCATGTGCAAGCATATCTTACCTGAAAAATTACTTCCTGGAAAAGAACCTACCTTCTTAAATTCTCTCCAAACTATCTGCATGCCTAGTGCTTCCACCTTATTATAGGCATTCTTCATTTTTTAAGTGAAATATTTTTTATTAATTAGAATTAAGAAATCATTTTGCATATATTTTAATTGCTTAAAGAACATGTAAAATCAGTAAAAAAACATATCCCAAAGAAGATTATCATCAGTTTATTTGAGACAGGCATGCCCATGCACATATACACACAAAAAAAATTCCTCTGTATGTCCCCAGAGTAAAATTTCTTTTTGAGAATCCATTATACACGTTTAAAAGTTAATAACATGTTCCTCATATAGTGACAAAATGGCCACTAAAATAATACCATAAAAACAGATGAAAATATTTGAGTGTATTCTGAACTACTCCCTGATATAACTTGATTCAGCATTTCACTTCCTCAGTTAAATGACTGTATCATGTGCTATCTTTTGCCATCGCCACTTTTTTTGGTATTCCTGTTTCCCTTCCTTCCTTCCTTCCTTCCTTCCTTCCTTCCTTCCTTCCTTCCTTCCTT